ATTAACTACTACATTAATTATCTATTTAAAATAGAATTACTAGTAGTATAATAATATTTATTGTATTTGTACTATAAGAAATATTAGTATTATAAGGTTAATTAGTAAAATAAAAGCTATAATTAATATAATTAATATATACATTATAATAGCATAAGTAGAATAATAAGTATAAGTAATATATTACAGATAAGATATATAATTTATTTTATATAAATAAAAAATATAGTTGATATAAAGAGTTATGATAACCTTTTTCTATTTTATAATTGGTTTTGTTTTTTTATCAAAATTCATAGTTAGAAAGCAGTTTAAAACTAAAATAGAAGTTAGATATAATAATTTAATTTTTAGCTTATATTAGGTTTTCAAGATGCTAAACATTTTTACTTAACTTATTTAATCTCTATTTTTTAATTAATTTATTTATTTATAATATTCTGAATATTAATAACTTAGTATAAATTATAAAAATTCATAAATAAAAATATATAATAAAAGCATTTTACTTTAGATAAAAGAAAATAGATAGTTTGTAATTAATAATATTTGTTTTATAATATTTTTCTGCTTTTGCTATGTTATAATAATACTTATAATTATAAATTTTCTATTGACCAAATCTAACACACTCTTTTTAGCTAAGCTAATTTATAGATTACACAATGTACCTAATTGTAAAACAAGTTAAATACTATTCAATATTGTTACTAGCATAAAAAATTACCTTTCATTTTTAATGCTCTAATGAAAAGTTTTTCTTAGAAAATTTTATTATAAAAACAACTTCTTTGATTTTCAACTCTGATTTTAACTCTAATATAACTAAACTTTCAAGAAATTTTGCTTTATTACAAAGCTGATACATATTCATAAAACAAACAATATAATAAAAATTAGTTTTGATTCGCTAAAAAATGATTGACAATTTACAAAAATAAAATTTAATTACAATGCCATTTATGGTTTTTTTTAAAACTGATTGGCTGATTAGTTATATAGTTTACTCAAAACTTATAATCAAAAAAACTAGTTTAACCAAAAAATTTAATATAATATCTTTGTATAATATACTTGTATTATCAGAATAACTTTTAGTAAAAGTTGGTATATCAAACAGTATACAAAAGCTATACTTCTAAAAAACAATCAAGTAAAATTTTAGATGATCTTAATTATAGAAAATCTTAACTTGTTCAATTTTAATTAAATTTTCTATTTCAAAACAATATAAAAAATTTGTATAATAGTACTTTATAATAGAAAATAAACAATCAATAAAAACAAATTTCTATTATACTATTAAAAATTAATATTGATCAGTAGAAATGTTTCTAAATTTTTTTTGTAACATATTCTATTTTAAATCTGCATGCAGCATTTATATATTTTTATAAGAAAAAGGACAAAATTCAATTTTTGGTACTATAATAGCTTTATAATACTACAATTTATCACATGCTTGTGTTATAATATTTATAACTCATTGAGCCTTTCTTTCTTTAATAATAAGCTTAAAATCCTTAACAAATTAAAAACTAAAAAAGATCTTTTACTTAAGTAAAATGACTATAACAATAATGCATAATGATAACAATAACTATTAAGTTACTAATTTTGTTGTATCAACAGTATTTATATCATAAAAAAATAAGTAAATCAATAGTAATATAAATCTTAACTAACAAAATAACTTAGCAAAGACCTCATCTAAAAGAGTAAAAACAATGCATTAGATAGCAATATTTTTATTATTCTATTAATCAATTCTAGATAACAATAAGCAATCAGATAATTATATTTTGCTGTTTAGCAATTTTGGAAAAATGAAGAGAAAATTAACATACATGACTTTGATATTGATTATAATATTCTTGATGATAATAGTATAAGTTCTATTATAGCTAAAGAAAATTTTAATATTATAAATAATAACAATAAAATTAATGAAATAAACTTATTTACATTAGATGAATTAGCTTTTGAAAAGACAAAATTATTAGTAAATAAAAAAGAAAATAATTATGATAATGATACTAAGTAGTAAGATCTAGATTATAAATCTTTTGAAATAGTATCAGTAACAACAGAATTAACAAAAAGTTCAAACTACCACTTAATAATTATGAAAAAACCTAGATATTAATACTATGTGTTCTTTTGCATATAGTAGATGGCCAAATACAATGGTGTTCTAATTATAAACAAAAACCTCAATAATCTTTAGTATAGCTCGTTGGTTCTTGAAAAATTGATAATGAAGTATTAGAGTTTATAAAAAATAATAATAAAAAGATATATGCTGTAGGTTTTGTAAATTACATTATAGTTTTGATTAAAATGTTCTTTATGATCTAAATTGCAAAAATTTATATTATATTGATAAAAGTTGGATATATTGTCATCAATACTTATTTTATAACAAAGATAAGTATTTTTTTGGCATGAAACTAGTTGTGACCAACATGTTACAAATATAATAAGGCATAAAATACAAGTGCCTTACATGGGTCTTAAAACATACTAAGTATTTATTGCTAAAAACAATGAAAAATGTAATTAAAATAATGATAATAAATATCAAACTAAAAATATTTGTATCCAGTGTTTTGACTTACAGAACAGACATTTTTTCAATAACAAGGTATTGGGAAGAAGCCCTTTAAATGCAATAATAAACATAAAGATAACATGATACAAGCACTTGAACTTATAGAACTGTGGATTTTAAATATAGCAAAAACAAATAATTCTTATTAAAAAAATAAATTGTTAACATACCTTAGTTAGATATTGTCTTTTTTAATAAAACTAAAAAGCATGAACAAAATCTGCCTAGTCTTTTATTTGTTAAAGCAGTTTTTTTAACTTAGGTAAATAAATCTTATAAAAATTATAACAAGTAATTATAATTTTATATATGAAATATCAAAAAAATTTGAAGAAATTTAGGAACAGTAGTATAGAAATCTTGTGACAAAGTTCATAAAAATAAGGAGATTCTTGAAAAGCCAGATTCATTGAATAAGTATTAATCAGCTTTTTTAAACTGTCTTTCTAGTTTTTTTAATAAATTAATTACTATATTACAAAAAAAAATATGATGTAGTTGTCAAAAAGAAAACTAAAAAAAATTAGAAATAAAAATCTTCAATAAAGTTTAGATAAAAAAAATATTTATATTTTTCATTTTAGTAATTCTTACTATTGCTTTTCTAGCAACAGATATTTGGCTTATACATGGTATGAGTTCCTTAGTAAAAAATCCAAATTATCAACTTCACTTTATAACATTTTATATATTACAAATATACAAAGATATAAACAGAGACTAAAAAAATATAGAATGGTATAAACAAATTCAAATCTTTACTTTTAAAAAGGTTGAATATTTGGACAATATGTATTATTGATAATATTAATTTTAAGAAAAGTTTATTTAAATTTAAAAATATATTTGATGATTTATGTAATATTTCTCATGTTATATTAAAAATAGTTTTTCAATTTATCTTATTCATACAAATTAAATCTTTTATTTTTGTTGCTTTGAATAACAATAACAATATTCTTAGTATTAGTAACAATAATGATAACAGTATTTACATTTACAATAGTAATATTTTATTTAGTAAATTGGATTTTATAAAAAATCAATATCATAAATATGAAAATGTTATTAATTAACTTATAAAATTATATTAAAACAATTCAAATATTAGTAATATTTATCATGAACTCATAAAAGATGTTTCTTTGTAATATCAAATTAATGCACCAAATTTCATTATTCTTATACCAGATAAAAAACAAAATTGTGATTTAAATATTTATAATTTATGTAAACAATATTTTAAAGATCTTTAGTCATCAAAAGATGAGTATTTGGATGTTGTATCTAATGAAACAATCTTTTTTACCTAATTTTATATTATGATTTAAAAAATCAAACCAATATAATTAATTTTAGATCAATGATATATGTCAAAAACTATATGTATTATTTTAATTAAAATTTTTTTGATCCATAGAATTTTCAGTTTAGTAGCAAACTTAATGTTAAATATTTAGATAAATTAGAAAAGATTGTTGATTATGATGTTATATTTCATGTTTTAAAACTAATTTGGATGGCAATAAGAATTGCTTTAATAAAATATTTAAAAAATCAAAATCAAAATAAAACTATAAATGATATTGAATAAAAAATAATAGTATTATGAAAGTTTAGTTTTTATATTTTCATTGAATGGGTTATGTAATTAATCATTAAATAGAAATAAAAAGGACTAATTATGATTTGCAATTTTATTTACTTTTAACATTTACTTCTTTTTTTTTAGTTGGTAGTAAAAGTAATTATGAATAAGCAAGAACTCATATTTTAGTTCAAGTTTATAAAAATTCTCAGTTATAACAATTACTTCATCAAGTATGTTCAATAGACCTTATGCATCCTGGTTATTATTATGCTTTTAATAAAGCATTAGAAGTTTTGAGAATAAAATTTGTTAAACAAAATATTAAATCAAATATTATAGATAAAGAACAACTCAAGCTACATATATTATTCATTCAATCTGAAATAGACAAAATACAAATACTTTTATCAGACTACATAGGAGATAATTTTCTGTTAATAATAATTATAAGGCACAATTATATATGGAACAGTATAGAAGCTTGGTGATGACCTAACCATCTCATTTCAACTATCTAATCCAACAACTCATAAACATTTTAAATATTCAAAAGAAATAAATTAAGTAGAATTTTTTTTCATTGCAACATGCTATGCAGAAGGTATAAAAAGACAAAATTCAATCTATAATCAAGAAATTTTCAAAACAGAAAAAAAAATTGTTAAGAGACAAAGAAGTTGTAATGTAAATGTATATAAGTTATTAAGTTTGTTAAATAATGATGATAATAATAAAAAGAAAAGAAAAAAAATTAATGTTACTAATGATGATAGTAGTAATAAAATTATTAATGATGAAATGAACTCACCTTTCACTAAACACATATATAGAGCAATAAGTAAAAATATGAAAGAAATTCTTACTCGATTGCTTGCTCATACTACTTTTTCTAATGATAATCAATTACTATATGATGTTCTTTATGAACTTCAAGACATAGAATCAGGTTGGACTAAGGAATGTACCATAATATATTGGCAGAACCATCACAAAAAAATAAACAAAACTGTAACTAGTACATAAAACTACAAGATGTGAACTAATATAATGCTAAGGATAAAAAAATCATTTGAATAGTATTTAAATCTGCAAGAAAAGAAATTCTAAAATACAATTATTCATTGAACTCCAAATACTATGAAATGTAAATGAAAATTATGATTAGTAGTAAATAAAGTTATAAGTAAAGTAAGCTTCATTTTCAAAATTAACTACTTTTCATACCTTATGAGACCGTTAGAATTAAATAAAGGATTTTAAACACAATAACCTAAATTGTTCTTACATATAATCTGCAGATAATATGATACTTGTATCTAAAAAATAATTAAATTATTAGTTAGATGCTAGGCGAAGTTAAGGAAAAATTATTTGACTTACTTTTTTTTAAAAAAAAAAGCACAGAAAAAAAATCCTCAAACCCAGTAAACTGGAATCATTCCTAGTGCTAGCGTCTTATTTAACATTAATACATAAAACCTACATTAACTAATTTTATTGATAATAAATAAATTAATGCTTTATGATCATTCTTTTCAATTCCAGTTTTTTCGTCATAACAATAAACAGCGTTGTGTATTTCACTGATTTTTGTCCTATGCTTTTCAACTCTAATTCCATTTCTATAACAGTGCTAAGTGCAAATATTTCACTAGCGTGCCTCATTTCTGCAAATATTCACAAGTGTGCACTGCCTTTTGACAATAAATATATACTGTATATTGGATTTCGTGATACTGTAGCCTACCGTCATCCATTTTTAAGAGAAAGATCTTTTTCAGTTTTTAAACCGTTAAGGATTTTAAGCTTATTATTAGGGAAAGAAAGACTCGATTAGTCATAACCATTATAACACAAATATACGATAAATTGTAATGTTGTAGAGTTACTATAGAGACGAAATTTGCATTTTGTCTTTTTTTCTTATAAAATGTGTAAAATGTCGCATGCAGATCTTATAGTAAAATATGTTACACAAGAAATTAAGGGACATTTCCGAACACCTAATGGTCTCAAAAAATTAGCCAATAAAGAATCTTGTTTTGGTGTAACGTCACACGATCAAAAACTTTCAAAACAAACGTCTGTTTAGAAAAAAATGTCTTTTCTCAAAAATTCGCTTAAGAAACAATTCTTTATGCATTAAATAAAAAAAATTCCGCGAGTAATTTTACTATCTTCTTAATATCCAACCTTAGTTTATATCCTAACTCTAACATAAACGAGCTTAACCAATTTTATCGATTATTGCATGATCGAAAAAAATTTTAAATTTTGCTATAATAACGTGCGATCTTATTGGTTAGTTTTAGGGTATGTTTAGATCATCAAAAAAGTAGGTGTAGGAGTACCAAAAAACGTATGTTTTACTACTGGGGAAGATCATGAAGCGATGGGACAACACGTAAACAAAAAGGGAGCAGTCACACAATCACTCGCTACACAATGGCATCGCCAGGAATGCTATCACAGGTACGTGCGTACATAGGTCCAAATTGCGCGTGAAGATCACAAGGTAACGACAAAACAGGAATCCAGGCGTGGGAAGGTTGAAGACGGATATGGTCAACAATGCAAACAGCATGTGCCTGGCGTAATGGATTAGGTATCAGGTGAGTATAAGTAGCAGAGACAACAAGCCCGAGACCCCCGGCGCTGGAAAGAAGGTCTCGCTACCACCCAACTAGAGATGTGCCAAGTACTGTACGAGAAAATTTTTGCCGATCCTTTCTACCAGCCAATCAAATCACTAGATACGCACTATGCTTACTATATCTACTGTATGTACTGTACGCGAAAAAAATCAATATCATAAAAATGGCACATCACCACACCCAACCCTCACAGGCACGAGGGCCCGTGATCACATCATTTCATCGCTGACAGCTGTCTTGCTTTGTCAAGCAATTACGATTGCTTTTGTCCGCCATTCTGATATTCTGACCAACTTGGTCAACTACTCGTTTTTTATAATGTACTATACTAACTTCAATTCAATAAAATATCATCTCCGGCCTAAATTATCTAACAAATAATCACAATGTATGTTGTATAATTCGGATAATTTTCGAGAATTGCTTCTTAAATAGATATTTCCGAACAATGAAGTTCTAATCAGGGTTACATTAAAATTCAATGAAATTACATGATTTAATTGTAATATATATTATGTATACATAATACATACAGGATTTATAGGGTACGCCTGTCATACGTACCACAGATCATTTGCTATATAAAGAAGTCAAAAATCTATTTGATCGTTAGATTAAACCTTTTAATCCTTTTAAAAATGGTAATATTACCGAACGAATGCCTCTATGAAATATTTGATAACCTTAAGACTGACTACAGAAGCTTATTTGCATGCCTTCTTGTAAACCGACACTGGTGTAGAAATATTATACCAATATTATGGAGTGAACCAACGAGTTACTTTAGAGACAGTAGGCTTATGAGAATATATCTTTTAGCATTAAATGCTGAAGAACAAGCTTTACTAATCCCATTTAAAATTAATTTTCCAAATTTTTCACAACCATTGTTTGAGTATGCAAGTTATACTACATCTGTTGGCTTTTATTTTGACGATGCAGTTAGATATTGGCTTAATGATGAAAACTATATGTGTGAAACTTTTGAATATAACGAATTACTGGATACTATTAAATTTTCTTTGACCGCAATGTTTCTAAGAACAAGTAAAAAACTTAAATCCTTATTCTTTGAAGGAACTATTTATAATAAAATAATGTTTGAATGTCTGTATAAAAACAATACTATTACTACATTATATTTTCATGCTTATAACTTTGGTTCAGATGCAACAGAAATATTAGTAGAAGTTCTTTGTAAAAATGCCACTCTGAAATCTTTGAATCTTGGTTATAATTTACTTAGTTGGGAGGGTAGGAAAGCAATAACAGGAGCTCTCTGCAAAAACGCTACTCTGACTCATTTGGGTCTACCCTATGGCAAGCTGAGTTCTGAAGAAGGGAAAGCATTAGCAGAAATACTTAGTATAAACACTACTCTGACCTCTTTAAACCTTCATGGTAATCGTATTGATTCAAAAGGTGCAGAAGTATTAGCCGAGGTACTTTGTAAAAATATTACTCTAACCACTTTAAACCTTCACAACACTATGATTGGTCTTGAAGGAGGAAAAGTATTAGGAGATGCTCTCCGTATAAACACAACTTTAACATCCTTGGATATTTCTCATAATCAGCTTTATTCTGAAGGTGCTAAAGCATTAGCAGTGGCACTTTGTAAAAATATTTCCTTATCAAATTTAAATATTTGCAACAACAATATTAACTCTGAAGGGGCAAAAGTATTAGCAAAAGCTCTTTGTGTAAACAATACTCTGACTTTTTTAAATCTCGGCTCAAATAATATTGATTTTGAGGGGATAAAGGAATTATCAAAGGCCCTTTCTAAAAATACTACACTGACTTCTTTAAACCTTTCTTTTAATCATTTTGGTTTTGAAGGAGTAGAAGTATTAGCAAAGGCCCTTTGCATAAATACTACATTGACTATTTTAGATATTCGCGGTAATGAAGTTTGTTTCGAGGGAGCAAAAGAAATATCAGATGCTCTTTATAAAAATAATACTTTAACTACTTTATATCTTGACAAAAATCAAATTGGTTCTGAAGGAGCAGAAGAATTAGCAGGAGCTCTTTATGTAAACACCACTCTTGCTTCTTTAAGTCTTTCTTATAGTCAAATAGATTTTGAAGGAGGAGAAGCATTAGCAAAGGCTCTTCGTATAAACACTACTCTAACTTTTTTAGATCTTGATTATAATCAACTTGGATCTAAAGGTGCGGAGGCGTTAGGAGAAACTCTTTGCATAAACATCGCTTTAAATGGTTTAAACCTTAGCAATAATCAAATTGATTATAATGGGATAAAGGCATTTGCAAAGGCACTTTATATGAACACTACACTAACTTCATTAAATCTTTCTTATAACAAAATTGATTTTAATGGTGGAAAAGCATTAATAGAAGCACTTCATGAAAATATTACTTTGACTTCCTTAAATTTTAGTAGCAATGGAATTAGTTATGATGAGAAGAAAAAATTGAAAGAAATTATTCGCATAAATTCTGCAAAAGCGACCATATTTTATTAAAATAATTATTTTTTAAATGAAAATAAAATTGTAAGTTTTTGCTATTCTCTTAAATCTATATATATCTCTTAAACTGTATCATTCTCATAATGAAACTTGGAATTTATGTCATAATTCACGTACAGTACATTCATAATACACTACAGGCGAATTTGCTCGCAAAGTTGTTTAAGGGTTTATATTAACATGATTTACAAATATTTAATTAATGTGACGGCTTTTGCTAAGATTTGAAATCCTCATTTAAACCTATCATACGTACCTAATAAAATTCACATATACTCCCCTAAATCTTAACCTGACCCTATAAAATGAACTAACAAAAAAGTCACCAAAAAAAATTAAAATTTCATATTAAAACAGTTTAAAATCCCACTTAAGCTATCATAAGTATCAATTAACCAAGAAAGTCAAATATGTTGCTTTAACAGTATGGCTGATGATGGAATTCGTTTACAAGTTTATACGGTTACGACACTTGCCGTATTCTTTCAGTTCATTCATTATATGGGTGCCACCAAGAGAAAACCATATCATAAGTAACAGAAGGAACCGTCGATGTTACACGACTGATCCTTCTCCCGGTGTTCTACATATAAAAAAATTAGTTTACAATACAGATCATTCCGCTAGTACATGTTATTATTATGATCCCACATCATTTTGTTAAAACAAAATAGTGTATGATCATAATCATATCACGTACTAGCGGAATGATCTGTATTGTAAACTAATTTTTTTATATGTAGAACACCGGGAGAAGGATCAGTCGTGTAACATCGACGGCTCCTCCTGTTAAGTTTATTATCTAGCTTTAGAAGTAACGTACATAAATATTAAAGTCACGTGTACTATTAATGGTTTTATATTCTAAAATTGCATCGTCGTGCTACCAATTTGTTAAAATGATATCAGCGAAACGTTTATAAATTTATTATACAGTAAAAAGTGCTCTTCGAATGTGTGCCAGATTGATGGCGCATTAATCAGTTAAATAAATTGAGTCAATCAAAAAAAAACTTAATGAAAACATACATTATTCTTTACTAGAATTATTATTCAAATTCAAAGAATTATTCGTATACAGTCGTATCTGAGTTATATCTCCCCCATTTCCAGATAATTTTTGGGAATATATCTGAAGAAGGGATGTGTATTCCATTTGATCACGTGATTATCGATCAATTAAATTTCTAATTTTAAAACTATAAAATTAGTTTATGATTTATTGACCAAAAGCATATAACAATTTCAAAGACACATCTTAGGTATTTTATATACTATTTAACTGTAGCTATTATCAGCAATAAGGTATAACTAAAAATTAATATAAAATGAGATATAGGAAATTTATTCTACTAAAAAATAGTGATATAATTAGGTTGGGATATAAACCTCCCTAGCATGACCACCAAAATCAGTTACGTAATCGCTGTTTAAAATCCGAGATCTTGTAATCCGGCACATTTTTATCATATTATATTATATCGATATATAACAATAAAAACTTTTATTAAGATATTATAATGATTTAAAAT